CCCGGGGCCACATTCTCCCATTCTCCCACGCCCCCCTCCCCCCCTTCTCTGCAGGGGAGGAGTGAACACAAGCTGTTCCCAGACCCCGCAGCCCCTTCCCACAGCCCCCAGCCCAGCCAGGCACAGCTCAGGCCATTTCTGTCTCAACCCTGCCCCCTCGTGGAGAATCTGGGTGCGGCCTCCCCAACTGCAACAAACCAGTGCTGGCACCTGCCCCGTTGTTCACTGAGGGCTGGCCCAGCGTGTGCCAGGCGCCGCGCTGGGCACAGAAGGGGCCAGAAAGAGCAACTCGTCCCTAAACAGCCCCCTGACATTTTAGGCTCCCGTATCCTTTTCTGGGGACCCTCGGGAGCTGGGGCTCCGTTCCACACAATCCTCAACACCCCGTGTTGTCTTACTTTGTGTCTCTGTGCCCTGTGAGGGGCCAGGTCTTGTTCATCCGAGCTGCAGCCGCCTAGGAGATGCTCAGTGCAGGGGTGCGATGGGCGGGCAGGCGGAGGAATGAATGATTGGATGGATGGGTGAATGAATGATGGAGGAGTGCAGCGATGACACCTGGGTCACAAACAAGGGCTTTGGAGGGATGTGTGGGTCGTGGACCATTTCCCAGCTCTGAGGCCTTACGGTTGCTTAGGCTCTTTAAGCCTCAGTTTCCCTATCTGTGAAATGGGGATAATCCTAGTGACTTCTGCCTGGGCTGCTGGCACACGCTGTCGTCATTCCCATTTGACAGCGGAGGAGGTGGGAGCTCAGAGCGGGCAGCGTGGGCACAGGCCACAGAGCTGGGGGGGCAGGGGGCTTGGGAGGGGGGTTCCCCTCGCTGCAGAAGTCACGCCCTTTGCGCTTCACCCCACGGACTCATTCGCTGACAGGCCACGCTCTCCCGCCAGAGGGCGGGTCCATCTCCCTCACCCAAGGGGACATTTCGGGCCCCCCGCGGGGCCCACCCATCACCGCCAGCCTCGCACTTCCTGCTCCCATGCCCACAGCGACGCACTTTTGTGAAGATGAGGCAAAACTGACGCTTCAAAGTCAAATCAGAGACTGACCTGTTCCCAGGTCCGTTATCAGAGCGCCTGCAAAGACCAGCAGGTCCAGTTAAACCTTTAAACGCCGCCTCACGAGGCGCCCGCAGCTCTCCCCACAGCAGCTTCGCTCTGTCCCTCCCCAGCTGTCCTGTGCTGAGTTCACCCAGCAAGTGCGCTCTCTCTTAACCCGCCTCCTGATTCCCTCCTCGTCCAGACAGTTCAGTGTCTGACCCGGTCCAGTCCGTTCCGCTGCTGTAACAAAGTGCCGCCGGCCACGGGACCGATAAACATCCGAAATCTGTTTCCACAGTTCTAGAGTCTGGAAGCCCGAGGTCCAGGTGCTGGGGTGGTCACAGCCTCCCGTCCTGGCTCATTGCAGGCTTCTTCCAAGGTCTGCCCGGGGTGGGAGGGGTGAGGGCAGGGGGCTCCACCCTCCTGACCTACTCCCCCCTCGCCCGCCCTAGGCCCCGCCTCCTAGCACCGCCCCTTTCAGAGATCAGTGCGCAAACTGGGGAGGAGCACAAACTTAAGACCTCGGCAGGCACGGCGCTCCTTTCTCTTTCCATTTTTAAGTCACTTTTACCAAACATCAAGGGCAAAGCACATCACGTTCAGTGAACTGCGCCGAGCCCGCGTGCCGAGCGGTGGGCAGCCCGGGACGGCACACACGGAGTGGCTGGCGCGTGTTCTGCGCCGACTGGGGTGCGGACGGCCGTGAGAAACCCAGGCCGGGGCGGTGGCACTCGAGTCACGGGTTAACAGAGGAAGCTGGTCCGGAGTCCCCACGCTTTCCCTCCCCTGCCCAGCACCCAGGGGGTGGTTCCCATCCTGCAAGAATCAGCGGAGGTCCAGGTCAGAACACAGATTCGGGGCCCAGCCTAGCAGAACAGAAGCCGCATAGTCAATGCCGGGGCCGGGAATCTGCATTTCAACAAGGTCCACAGGCCTTTGCTGGGGCTTCTCACCCTCGGGTGCCCGCTGAGCCCCTGGAAAAACCTCAGTGCAGGGCTCCTGCCCAGCCCATCTAAGTCAGGGTGTCTGGGAGTGCAGGGGGAGGTGTGGGTGTCTGTTAAAGATTCCAGGTGCTTCGAACGGAGTTCTGTTTGAGCAGGGGCTGGGTTGTTGGGAGAGGCTGCTGCAGAGGGAGGGGGTGGGACAAGTGGGCGAGGCTGGTGTGTTCAGGGCTGAGCCGGCCGAATCCAGCAGGGACAGGCTGTGGCCGGGGAGCACTGGGCACCCCACCCTGCGGGGGACACATCTCGACGTCGCCGCCTCCTTCCTGGCCTCCCTGTAAACACAGTGGCATTTGCAGAGACTTGGATGTGACCGCCTGCAATTTGGACGGGCCCGAGACTGGTCTTCACTCTCTCCGGCCTTCCCGGGACAGTGCTCTCTCTGCCTCCACCTCATGGCCCTCTCCAAGTCAGCTGTGAGATGAAAACAGTGCAGGCCCCCATGGCACTGAGCTGGCCACAGTCAGTGTCTCCATCTGTGCAACGGGTGCAGGCGGCCCCAGTCGGGCAGCTGGCCGTTGGGGCTGTCTGGGGAGGTTCCGGCTTCCTGTCTGCTCCCGCCGGCCCTGGGGAAGCTGGGACAGGGTCTAACTCAAAGAAGGCAGGAGGCTGGTGAGAGCTTCAGGGGGCCCCAAGGGCACTGGCACCTCGCCTATAGCTGCTGGTGACACAGCTCCCTCCGAGTCTTCCTGTGTCACCACCTACCTGCGTGAGCCTCTGTGCTTCATGGGTTTTGCCCATAAAACGAGAACAGGTTTATTGCTTTGGGTTGAAAACAGAATCACAAGAGATACATTCTCATGGTCACTGGAGCAAGGGCCGTGGCAGAGGGTGTGAGCTCGGTGGCTGCGTGGTTCTGTGCTGGCACTGCAGGTTGGGGCATGGGAGGCCCTAGAGCAGCCCAATCGGGTGGCAGAGGCCAGGGTGACGTGGCGTGGTGACCTGCAGAGCTTCAGCTCTAACACGAGGCTGTAGATGTTTCCTCCCGTCCAACAGGGGGCTCTGAGTGACCAGCGACACCCTCCCCAAAGGGCCCCAGACTGTTCATTCTAGGTCAACACAAGTACGCACTCCAACAGCGCCCCCTGCTGCCCACAGTGGGGACGGGCCTACAGCAGGGCCAAAGGGAGCTGTGCCGATGGCTGGCCTCCAGGTGCGGCAGGGCCAGTGAGCTGGGAGGGGGTCTGGGTTGCTTCTCAAGGGGGTCAATGCACACACCGTCTAGGTGCCTCTTTGTTCTTGGGCTGACACGCTTCTGCTCCTTTGAGGATGAAAAGGGAAAGTCTGTATTTTTTTTAAAGATTTTATTTATTTTTAGAGAGGGAAGGGAGGGAGAGAGAGAGAGAGAGAGAGAGAGAAACATCAATGTGCGGTTGCTGGGGGTCATGGCCTGCAACCCAGGCATGTACCCTGGCTGGGAATCGAACCTGTGACACTTCGGTTCACAGCCCACACTCAATCCACTGAGCTATGCCAGCCAGGGGAGAGTCCGTATTTTTTTTTATAAATACAATTTTTTTAAGATTTTATTTATTTATTTTTAGAGAGAGAGAGAGAAAGAGAGAGAGAGAAACATCAATGTGTGGTTGCTGGGGGTCATGGCCTGCAACCCAGACATGTACCCTGGCTGGGAATCGAACCTGGGACACTTTGGTTCCCAGCCCGCGCTCAATCCACTGAGCTACGCCAGCCAGGGGAGAGTCCGTATTTTTATGAGAGTGGTCCAGGTGCCACGGCAAAGGGCCAGTGGAAATGCTGTGCCATCCCACAGGTGAGAGAGTGCACATGACTCTGGGAGGTCTACACCACTAGATGGCGCCAGCAGCAAGGGCCTGGCACAGAGGACCCAGAGCCCATGCAGGGGGCCTCTCTGCCCCTTCCTTCCTAGGATCTTTAACTTGGCGTGGAGACAGCAAGCTGGACAGTGACCGTGTGGAGACGGGTCCTACCAGGTTACAGCTCACCCAGCTCAGCTCACAGTGCCCAGGCCCCGGGTGTTTGGGGGACACTCTGTGGACAGGGCGTGGGGAGGGGCAGTCATGCTGTGGAGTGTCTGCCGCTCGCCAGCTCCCGCAGGAGTGTGTCTGCACACACCTTGACCCTCGGCCCCCCAGCATCTTCTGGGGGGCATTCCTGTGGCCGCGTCACAGATGGGGTTGCTGGGGCTCCAAACAGGAAGCTTGTCAAAGGCCCACCGAGAGGGCCACTTCTGTCGCAGGCCTCATGCTCTCCTCTTGGGTGGAGAAGAAGGGTCTGCTGGCCATCGCTGGAAGGCCTGCCATAGTCCCCCGCTCTCTGCGCGCAGGCGATGCTCCTGGGCCCAGGTTCCTCTCATGTAAAGAGTGGGGGTCTGGGTGGTGGTCCAGGGAGAGGGCGCGAAGGTGACTGGACCCCAGAGGCAGAGGCAGCTTGAAGCCCCTGCGCACGCTGACCTTTCCTGGTGCTCCGAGGGGGAACTAATAGTAACGATTAACAACAGCAGTAGCGGTGGTAACAAGTCGGCCAGCGGAGCCCAGGTGTCGAATCTGAGTCTGGGGGCCCTGTGAGCTCCGGGGGACCCTTTGTGGAGGAAACGGGGCCTGGGCTCCCACACCTGTCGCATGAGGCCGACTCACCGACCCCCGGGGAGGGAGGAGGGAGGGGGGAGGGGGGAGGGGGGAGGAGGGGAGGACACAGCCATGGGGCTTCAGTGGCCGGAGTTCTGATGCAGAGCCCAGCCCACCGCCCACCCGCAGGGGGGTTCAGGCCGCTGGCTTCACGTCCCTGAACTCTGGGCTCTCGGCCTTATTTCTTCTATTGAGGAGAAAGGGGAAGGACCATCAAAGGCATGCGGGAGAAGTACAACATTATGTAAGCCTTTTGAACACCACGAAGGCAGGGAGATGCTGGCAGGTGCCTGGGGCGCTGACCCCCGCCTGGCAGCCCCTCTTCACCTCGGCCATCCCCCCCCCCACCGCAGGCCCCGTCTCCAGCCCCCACGGCCATGGCCTTCACCCCGGCGCCCCCGGAGGACACGTCGTCACGCCCCCAATTCTGCAAGTGGCCGTGCGAGTGCCCGCCGTCCCCACCCCGCTGCCCGCTGGGGGTCAGCCTCATCACCGATGGCTGCGAGTGCTGTAAGGTGTGCGCCCAGCAGCTGGGGGACAACTGCACCGAGGCCGCCACCTGCGACCCCCACCGGGGCCTCTACTGCGACTACAGCGGGGACCGCCCGAGGTACGCAATAGGAGTGTGTGCACGTAAGTGACACCTTCCCCCTTTCTGGCCACGCCCCCTGCCCCAGCCCCTGCATCCCCGGTTCTGGCCTGGGGCCCCTCACCTGGAGACCTGGAGCCTTCCTCCTGCTCTGCAGGAGGTGCCCCCCCCCACTCCCCTGTCCATCATTCGAGGCGGGAGGCTGGGCCCTACCAGACAAGGGGAGATGCCTGCGTTCCTCTTGCCTCCGGAACCCGGCGTCCTGCTCTCTCTCCTCAGACCTGGAGGTGCATCCATGGCAGACGCCAAGGGGAAAGGGGCTGCCAGGAAGGGCTCGGCCCGGTTGCATTCCCGTAGTGGTAGGGCCCCTCGCTGGATGCCCGTGGCCTCCCAGGGCCACTAGGACCCTGCCGAGCCCCAGCTGGCTGAGCGATGCTGTAAGCTGAAATAACGCACGCTTGAAAAATTCCGTAGTCCTGAAAGAACGAAAGCCAGCAGCCCGCAATGCTTTCTCCCCGCCTCCCACCCCTGTTCAGTTGCTGCAGTCACTTGACTTTCCAGCCCTTTCTTCTGGCGCGTAGGTATAACTGCATAACACATATCAGTTGTTGTGTCTTGATGGACTTAAAATGTCTAGCAACGATCCTATATGATCGCTAGTGGACGAATGACTCAGCTCCTCAGTACCACCGGACACCTCCCCGTCCTCCAAAGCTGTCCTATTTTTCTTTACATGGTCATCCAACTTGTGCTGTTATGCGTATGCGAGTGCTGTTTAGTGCAGCAGGAGACAGTGTGCTCATCTGAACTTCCTTTCCAATGGAGCCTTTGTGTTTTTCCTGGAGAGTTTCTATTTGCCTTTGCTTTTTCTTCCTCTGGGTCTTTATAATCTCCTCATGTACAGGAGGGCTGCTGGTCGTTGTTGTCTGTTTTCCCTTCGAGGGCTGCATCACGGCCCTTTTTTGTTCCCAAAGACCTCCTTCCTGGGGCTTGCTGGTCCCTTGCTTCTGTCTGACCGGCGCTCCTCTGGCCTGAGTCATCTAAGCGTTTACCCAGGAAGCGTGACCCAGCATGATGCAGAGAGGTAACTGGGCGTCAGGACACGGCAGCCCAGCCTCCGAAAAGTCCCGCAAAGCCTCGTAAACCCAAGAGCCTCTGTTTTCCTTTAGTGATGACTCAAGCCGTCACCGTAACTCTGACTCTGTACACACCCTGTTTCACAGTTGCACACAGAACAGTCTCTCACCCTCAGCTAACCCACCGTGCCTCCTGGGAGGGGTCGTTGATGAGTTATGGACGTAATTCCAAGGCAGGCAATGCTCTCTGACCCTCGGGGCTGATCTGTGAACACTTCCTGCTCTCTCACCGTTGGAGCACGCTTCCACTTTCATAGCGAGTTGTCCGTCTTCAGCTCTACCAGGGACCCCCTGTGATACTCCACCCTTCTTCCGTTACTCCTGGTGTTCAGACTCCTCACTCGCTCCCCAGGGCCGTGAGTTCAACAGGACTTACAGCACTGCCCACAAAGAATCTCCCGATGTGCTGGTTCAAAGTGTTACTCCCGAGCCCACCGCACCTCCCGGAGTGGGGATGGAAGCCACACCTTTAATGAGCTTCCGAGTGATCCTTGGGCATGTTCAAGTGCGAACTGACCTACGCAGCCCCCCTTTGTCTGCAGGGTGTGCTCCAGGGCCCCCGGTGGAGGCCTGAAACCGCAGGTAGTGCCGAACCCTAGACGTAGCTGTGTGTTTTCCTGTATTTGCACCCCTACGGGAGAGCTGAATTTCTACCTTAGACACAGCAAGAGATCAGCAATAACAGCTGGTGGTGACTAGAGCGACCATAGCTGTGCTCTGCATGTGACCAACGTTGAGTGCGCGAGGTGCTACGAAGTGAAGGCAGGGCGACATGCACACGAGCCCTGCGACCCCGTGAGAGTGGATCTCTCCCCCGAGCCGGCTGCGCAGTGACGGGGGGACGGGGCGTCCACAGTGTGGACACGCTGGACAAAGGGAGGCTCGTCTTCCGAGTGGGACAGAGCAGGAGGGAGTGGGATTTTACCACGTTATTCAGAACAGCCTGCAATTTAAAACTTCTGAGTTGTTTATTTCTGGAATGTTTTCCGACACGGTCGATCACGGGTGACCGAAACCGTGGGGAACGAAGCCGTGGATGAGGGGCGGGGTGCCACTGTATAGAGCCAGTCCCACACTCGCTCCCCAAACCCAGTGAGGAAGCTGGACTCAGCCTCCTGGCACTCGAATCCCCTCCCGGCAGAGAAGTCGGTCTCATCACCTCTTTCCCCTTCCACAGCTGTTCTTCAAGGTCGCTGGAAAGGTCACTCAGTTCACCGTGATTATACCAATCTCTAAAGCTGTATTGACATACTACCATGTGCCGGGCACCACGCCTTTGTAGGTATTCGCTCAGGGACTCAGAGACTGTGCGGGCCGAACCGCCTCCCTGCCTGCCCCTCCCCAGCGGGGGCCTGGAAACTGCCCTCCCGCCCCAGCCCACCCACCTGTGTCTCAGGCCCCGCCTCACCCCTGCAGCCCCCCAGCGCCCGCTTGCCACGCGCCTCTGCGTGCCTCCTTCTGTTCCTTCGGAAAGAGGACCATGGTCTGCAGGAGGGTCTCACAGGGTTCCGCTCGCCCAAGACGCCCTGCTCGCCTGGGTGTGCAGGCGCTGGACTAAATGAAGGTAAAAGGTGTTACAGCACTTCTCAGAGGTGTTGAACGTTTATGTCCGCTGTCCGGTTCCCAGAGGGCAGCCATCGTAAGAAGCCTTTACTTTTCAAGCTTGTTTGCAACAGTGAGCTCTTCTGTCGCCGTCGATTTTGCCCCGCCCACCCACCCCACCACACACACACACACACACACACACTCACAGATACACACATCTCGTGCATACGTGTGTGCCTACACACACACACACACACAACTCGCTGGCGTGCTACTGAACGTCTTCCCAGAAACGCCGCCGTAGAGTGTGAGTCTGTGAGACCCTCGTCAGGAAAGAAGAGCCCGGGGCCTGGTGGTGGCAGAGAGGAAGACACCGCGGGCAAGGCCAGAGGGGAGAGAGAAGGAAGAATTCCTCGTCCAACGGTCCACTCAACCGAAGGATGGTCCCCAGACCGGCTAAACCTGTCCTTGGAGCGGTGCCCGTAACTAGTTCAGGACAGGGCGGGGCATTAAAAGTGAGCGTTTGCAACGCTGGGTCATAAAACCCAGAGCGAGGCCGGTGGAGACTCTGGCGAAACGGCGAGTGCAGGCCTTGGCTAGAGAGGCGGCCGGTCCTGGGCACCAGCCACGGTGGCCAGGCAGAGATGCGAGCCTGGTCTTGGCCATTGTGCTCAGTTTTCAAGAAAATCCAGATTTGGGTATAATTTGTACATGTTGGCAACACATTAAAAAACATTTTTTTAAAATGCTCTCTGAGCCAAACTAAATGCTTCTGTGGGCAGAGAGCAGCCTCTGAATTCTCCTCTTCGGCTATTTCTGTTGCACAAACACTACTCTGCCGCCTTTGCCGCCGGGGCAGGCCCGGGGCAGGCCCGGGGCAGTGTGGTCTGCCGGAGGACCGTAAACTTGACGGGCAGACAGATTTGGGGTTTGAATCCTGGCTCCGGCGCCTGCCGGCTACGTGACCCTGGGCTCGTCGCTGGAGGAGCTGGATCAAACCAGCCGCATGTGGTCGCTGAGCGTCAGCGAGGGAAGGCGCTCGAGCCTCACACGGGATCAGCCGCTGTGTGTGCGCACCGTTGCGTTGCTGCGCTTTAACGTCCCCTCGGCGACACCCCCTCATCCCCGTCCGAGGTCATCCTCAGAGGGGGCAGGCTCAGGTCCAGGCTCGGACACCCCGGCGTGGAGAGTGAGGGAGGAGAAAACCAGCCGTTCGTAGTCCTCGGAGCTGGACAACTTGAGTTCGAATCCCAGCACCGTAACTAACTAGGGGCCGGTGGCTTGGGGCTAGCCGGTTAACCTTTTAAGGGTCCCTTTCCCAGGAAAAAGTGACAAATACGCCTATCTCTTTAGGGGTTTGAGGTGTCAAGGGATCCATAGGAGCAGCTACCCCTGGCTCCCACCCATCCATCCATCCATCGGTCCATCCATCCATCTGTCCATCCAACCACAGATGCCTTCATGCAGGGACACAATGACGGGGTTCCAACGAGGCCCGACCCACTGTCCCTGCTCCCGTGCAGCTGACCGTCCTCTGGGGGTGTCATTGAGGGGAGCGACGGCCCGATGGCAAGCAGGGTGACCTGAGTCCCTGGAAGTCCTTCAGTAAGAGGGAAGACCGCCAGGCCACACTTGGACTTGCACGTCGGAGACGAGATAGGAGGCAGCGAAGGAGACTGGCCCAGCCTCACTGACGCTGGCCCTCCCATCAGTCAGCATGTGTGGCTTGGGTCTGCTTTGTTTACCGCTGAACCTCCAGCGCCTGGAACACCCCATCAATGTGCAGAGAATGAATGGAATCTTTGTTTCAAAGTGTTCTGATTGGTTTTCCATGTCTGCCCCATTCAGAACCATGCCCCTAGTGATATTTGTCAGTACCAGGCTCTGTGCCTTGGGCTCAGGACAGGACAGAGGGCTGGCCGCCTGGGCCTGCGGCCCCGAGATGCTAGATCCTCTTACACTGGCGCCAGGTGGCACTCAACGAGCCGCAGCTGCAGCTCCTAAGGAACTCCCGAGCTCCCTCTGTTCAAGCCCCACCCACTTCCCCTCGCCCTCAGGTCCCAGCCCTTGCCGACTCGCCCTCCCCCGTGGCGGGGCATTCCCAGGTTGGGTGAGGTCCACGGTGGAAGGCTGCCCTGGCTGGGGGCACCGGGCCTGACCCGGCCACGCTGTATTCGCAGAGCTGGTCGGCGTGGGCTGCGTCCTGGACGGGGTGCGCTACAACAACGGCCAGTCCTTCCAGCCCAGCTGCAAGTTCAACTGCACGTGTGTGGACGGCGCGGTGGGCTGCACGCCGCTGTGCCTCCGAGTGCGCCCCCCGCGCCTCTGGTGCCACCACCCGCGGCGGGTCAGCCTGCCCGGCCGCTGCTGTGAGCAGTGGGTGTGCGACGACGAGGCCAGGAGGCTGCGCAAGACAGCGCCACGCCACACGGGAGCCCTAGGTGGGTGCTGCGCGTGGGCCCGGCAGGGCTGGCCCTGGGGGCGGGGGGCGGGCCCTCCTGGGGCTCTGACTGCCCACCTGTGGTGGACCGCAAAGCCCACAGTCCAGTTCCCAGCCCCCCACTCGCTAGCTGAGTGACCCTGGGAGAGAGTCACATCTCCTCTGGCCTCTGTTTCCCCGGGGGCAAGTTGGAAATGACACCCTCTGCCCCGCCTGTCGCGTGGGGTCCTCTGAGCGTAAAGTGAGGAAGGGCTTTGCACAGAACAAAGCCAGGCGCGTGTGATTCATCAGATCCTACTTAAGAGGCTGGGTGGGGGGTACGGAGGTGGAGGAGGGGTGAGTGCACGGTGGGTGCCTTTCGCCGTGGAGGGCGGAAGCAGGCGAGGCTTCAGCCAGGTGAGCCAGGTTACAGGGAGGCCTGCCGAGGGAGGCCGGGGACAGGCCTGTTTGTTTCGCCGCCGTGTATTGGAGCCCAGCCAAGGCCAGACACGCAGCAGGTACCTCTCAGTGTTTGTCACACGGATGGATGGGTGCCTAGATGGATGGATGGATGGATGGATAGACAAATGAATGGGTGGATGGATGAAACATGAATGGATGGATGGACAAATGGATGGATGGATGGACAAATGGATAGATGGATGGACAAATGGATGGATGGATGGATGGATGGATGGACAAATGGATGGATGGATGGACAAATGGATGGATGGATGGATGGATGACACATGAGTGGATGGATGGACAGATGGATGGATGGACAGATGGATGGGCAAATGAATGGGTAGATGGATGAAACATGAGTGGATGGGTGGACGGATGGATGGATAGACAAGTGAATGGGTGGATGAATGAAACATGAGTGGATGGATGGACAAATGGATGGATGGATGGACAAATGGATGGATGGATGGACAAATGGATGGATGGATGGATGGACAAATGGATGGATGGATGGACAAATGGATGGATGGATGACACATGAGTGGATGGATGGACAGATGGATGGATGGACAGATGGACAGATAGACAAATGAATGGGTAGATGGATGAAACATGAGTGGATGGGTGGGCAAATGGACAGATAGACAAATAAATGGGTAGATAAATAAAACATGAGTAGATGGATGGACAAATGGATGGATGGATGGACGAATGGACAGATGGATGGGTGCATGGATGAAACATGAGTGGATGGATGGACAAATGGATGGACCGATGGATAGATGGATAGGCCAATGGAGACATGAACTCGGGCAGAGGAAGTAGAGGTGACAAAGGAGGGGCAGATACCGGGGCACCGTGTGAGACTGCAGGTCCTGGCATGGTGGAGAGAGCTGCAGAGGGTGGCCCCTGGGGCTGGTCTTGACCTAGGGTGCAGCCCCAGAGAAGGAGTGCATCTGGGGAGGAGAGGAGCACCCTTGTGAGAGACAGGTGGAGTCCGGGGCTGGGCACCCTGCCTGTGGGGCGGCCCAAAGGGGCACCCTGGGGGGGGGCGCGGCATGCAGGAGGGAGACAGGCAGAGGGAGCTCCGGGAACCATCCTGCCAGAGCGGCTGATGCTGGTGGGACGGCGTAGGGACACGGGGTGTCCAGTGGGACAGAGGGGCCTTGGTCAGAGGCCCAGGGGCTGACATTTGAGGGGTGAACAGTAAAAGAGGGGGCGAGGAGGAGACAGAGAGAGGGGGCAGGAGGAAAACCAGGAGCATCTGGGGACACGGCAGATGGCCGATGACACTTCTAGAAGGAACAAGTCTATCCGGCAAGTGGGCACGAAGCAGTGAAGACATGGGCACAGAGTCTGCGCACTGAGGTCGCTGGTGATGCTTCTAGATGCGAGATGCGGGAGCTTGCTCGGGGATCCTGCGGAGGAGGCTCCTCCCTGCGGTCCTGACACCGTTCGGACCAGATAACTCTCCGTGAGGGGCAGATGCCGTGTGCACTGCGGGAGGTGCGCAGCGTCCCCTGCCCCGGCCACGCAAACAGTCACGGCCAAAACTCCCTGCAGACGTCACTTGTGTCCTGGGCGACAGAGTGGCCCTCAGCAGAACCTGCGGGGCCGCCCCGATACGCTGCCATTTTCTCTGGGGACAGAGGGAAAAGCTGAGAAAGTCAAATCCGAGAGGCAGGTTGGAAACAGGAAGGCATCTTGCAGGAGCCGAGTGAAGGGAGTGTTTCAGAACAGAGCCTGCTGGAGGGCAGGAAAGCAGAGGGCGCACCTGGGTGGGTCTGGCCGGACCAGGAAGGTCAGCGGTCCCCCCACCTCCACCCCCACCCCCTGCCTTGGTTCAGGCTGGGGCCACCTCTCTGGGTGGAGCTTGGGGGCCCCCAGCTGCTGAGCCAGCCCCGTGAAAGAGGGGACAGGAAAAGCCGTGTCCCCAGCAGCAGGGTGGCTGCAGTCCCAGCAGGGTCCTGCTGGCAGAGCCACAGAGGGTCACCGGGAGGTGCGGCAGCGGCCCGTTGTCTGCCCGTTGTGTGTGGCCCAGTGACCCCGTTCTGACCGAACGCAGGCAGAGCCGTGTGGGTGACCCAGAAACCAAAGCCCTTCTTTTATCCTCCCAGGCAGATCCCTCCCCTGCAGCCGCCGGCCCCCCTCCCTCCCACCACCCTGACAGCCCACGCACGCACACACGCGGCCCGGCCAGACCAGCCCTCCTCTGTCCCGGAGAACTCTCCCTCCTCCCTCTGTCTCCCACGCCTCCCCTCCCCCTTCTCTCCCTCCTCCCTGCCCTCGTTTTCTCCTCCGTGTTCCCTGCACGCCCGTGAGCCTGGAGGGTCTGGGTGTGGGCAACGAGTCTCCCCTTTCTCCTCCTCCTCCTCCTCCTCATCCTAGTGGACTTCTTCCCTTTCCGACTCTGTCTCCCCTCCGCCGCCCAATTTGTATCACCTTTCTCTCCCTGGCCTTTTCTCCCCTCCCTCTCCCCCCCTCCTTCCTCTCCCTCTTCTCTCCTCTCCCTCTTCTCTCCCCTCCCTCTCCCTCTCCTCCTCTTCCCTCTCCCCTCTCTCCCTCTCCCTCTCCCCCCTCTCCTCCCTCACCCCCTCCCTCTCCTCCTCCCCCTCCCCTCCCTCTCCCCTCCCCCTCCCTCTCCTCCTCTCCTCCCTCACCCCCTCCCCCCTCCTCCTCTCCCCTCCCTCTCCCCCTCCCCTCCCTCTCCTCTCTTCCCTCTCCCCTCTCTCCCCTCCCCCCCTCCCCTCCCCTCCCTCTCCCCTCTCCTCCCTCTCCCCTCCCCCCCTCCCCTCCCCTCCCTCTCCCCCTCTCCTCCCTCTCCCCTCCCCCCTCCCCCTCCCCTCCCTCCCTCTCCCCCTCCCCTCCCTCTCCCCCTCCCCTCCCTCTCCCCCCTCCTCCCTCTCCCCTCCCCTCCCCTCTCCTCTCCCCCCTCCTCCCTCACCCCCTCCCTCTCCCCTCCCCCTCTCCTCCCCGCCCCACACTCTCTCTCCATCTGTCTCCCTCCCCTTCCCTCTGCCTGTTCCTTTCTCTCCTCTCTTCGCAGACTGAGACCGGCTTCCTCCTCGGGTCTGACTCTTGTGCGCCTCGTTTCTTCTTCCTGTGGGACCTCCCCTGTGTCTCCCTGGCTTTCCACCGCCTCCACCCCGGTTCCCTCCACCTTCCATCTCTCCGAGAGCCAGTGAGCACCCACCACGCTCTAGACGCTGGGACGTAAATATTAACAGCGCCATCCGAGAGTTGGCGTTTGCTGGCCGGTGACTGAGAAACCACGCGAGCCCACGTTTACTGAGGGCTCACTAAGGGCCAGGGACAGCTGGTAGCTGTCCCATGTGTGCACCGACCTTTTCCAGCCCCGGGAGGCAGAGGACCCACCCGCTCCCCTGGCGGGTGCCTGTGCTCGAGTCGACCCCACGCTGTTTGACGCTGAAGCCCGTATGCTCCGTGACCACTGTGCCCTCGGCGTCACCCAGATGAAATGCTGGGCCCTAGGGTGTGGCCACCCGCCTTTGGCCTTCCCCCAAATAAACTTAACCTCGCAGGGGCAGGACCAGGGTCTCGTGGCCTCTCATGCCCAGCACCAAGCAGATGACCAAGACATAGTCAGTGTCTAGAGTCCTTTATTGCCGCACCTTTATTGCCGCAGATGCAATGGTCCCAATGAGGGTACAGAGGCCAGACTGAGTTGTCTAGGACCCCATGAGCAGGATTTGAACTCAGGTCTTCCCCCCCCCGCCCCCCCGAGAAGTGGAAGGGACTCAGAACAAGCCCTTCTCTCCCTGGGGACCCACGGCCAGATAGAAGCCAGCTCGCCATCTCTCTCCCGCTGAGTGGCAGGGATCCCGTGTGCAGGGTGGGGGTGGGGGCGCTGGAGGTGACAGAGCTGGGGACTCACGGGGAGCCTGGTCCCCCCTCGCAGTGGCCGAGGGTGAGCTGGAGCCCTGGCACAGGAACTGCGTGGCCCACGTGAGCCCCTGGAGCCCCTGCTCCACCAGCTGCGGCCTGGGCATCTCCACGCGGGTCTCCAACGCCAACGCCCACTGCCGGCCCGCGCAGGAGAGCCGCCTCTGCAACCTGCGGCCCTGTGACGCGGACATCCGTCCCCTCATCAAGGTGGGTCCCTCCTGGGGGGTGGGGGCTGGGCCGGCGTCTGGGACCTCACAGAAAAGCGTGGCTTTGAGCCTGGCTCCTCAACTTTCCCGTGGGGCCCTTGTGGAATGGGGATAAGTAAGCCCACCTCCCAACAGGTACGGGGGTAACGTGTGTGTCACCAGGTGGGAGCGTGGTGCGTTTCAGTCAACACTACGAAGGCATCCTGTGTTGGTGAAACTGAGACAAAGGACAGGGCAGCGGCTGGGCAGAAATGGAGGAAAGAAGGGAAATTGCAGAGTGAGAGGCAGGACCCGAGGGAGCAGCGCCAGCCCCCTCTGCGGCCCTCAGCTGAGTCCTGTGCGGGGCAGCTGGGCCGTGCGGTGTCGTGGGGGGGGCCTTCCCAGCCTGAAGGTGCCGCAGGTCTCGAAGGAAGGCGAGGGCTCCCATGGAACAGGGAGGAGGGACAGTTGAGGGCTCAGGGGGAAGAAGGTCATGGTTTGTCCTCGGAGCATCCCAACCGACGCCTCTTTCCCACAGGAAGGGAAGAAGTGTCTGGCCGTATACCAGCCAGAGGCGCCCGTGAACTTCACCCTCGCCGGCTGCGTCAGCACACGCGTCTACCGGCCCAAGTACTGCGGGGTCTGCACGGACAACAGGTGCTGCATCCCCTACAAGTCCAAGACCATCAGCGTCTCCTTCCAGTGCCCCGACGGGCCTGGCTTCTCCCGCCAGGTGCTCTGGATTAATGCCTGCTTCTGCAACCTGACCTGTCGGAACCCCAACGACATCTTTGCTGATTTGGACTTCTACCCCGACTTCTCAGAAATCGCCAACTAGGCAGGCACCCAGCACAGCCCTCGGGTCCTGCCCAGTGCTGGCAAAGCAGCCAGCCCCTGGGGTCCCCCCATTGAGCCTGCTCTCGTCCACTTCCCATTTGTTTCTAATGACCCTGACCCAGACCTGTGGCCCCTTTCCTGCCTCCGACCACCCGGATGATGCGCCGTGCTGCCGCTCAGGCCCAGACTGCGCGCCCCATCCTTGCCCGAGTTCTGAACGTGCTCCGGAGGAAGTGCCTGTCTCCGCCTGTCGTGGACAACGCCGTGGAGGCCTGATCCGGCTTGTGCAAGACACAGGGTGGGTGGGAGGGGGGTCCTCCTGAGTCCCGAGGGGCCGAATCAGCTGGGCATTGAGTGTCACTGATTCCCTCTCGAGATGCCAACCACAAGACTCCTCGGATCCATTCAAAGGGTGGGTGGGCTCGCGTTCAATGGGACAGTCTACTACTGGGGTCCCACCGAGAGGCGCCGTGACAGACAGTGCTGCCTCAGAGCACAGCGCACCGAAGCACCACCTCTGGTTCCAAAGGTCTGCGTGCCACAGGGCCACCCGGCACTCGCCAAGGGAGGTGAATGGTTGTTTGGCTTTGATTTCTCATGAAACACCGTGTTATTCATCCGGCATTGTTGAGGCGCTGAGTTTCCCTCCATTTCTGCGCTGAGAAGGGTGCATGGGTTCTTTTCGGTCGGAAATGCCATTTGATAAATTTCATTCTCGTTCGTGGGACAGTCCCCAGTCGGCACTGCAGGGCAGGGCGAGGGCAGCCGGCTTTCAGAAGGAGGACCCTGCTGCTGTCCCCTAGGACACCAGGGGTTGGCCAGACTCCTCAAATCCAGACCCTCGCCCAGCTTGGGGGCTCACGGAAGTCAGCAGGGCCCCTGGGGTGGCCTGTCTGACCCCTGAGAGTGGGGTCCTGAGGCATTTTTCTGCACTTACGGAGCCTCAGCTGCAGTCCAGGCCAGAGCCTCCCGAAATGACTCAGAGCTCCGGCTGGGTGGGGGTCAAACCAAGCCGTGGGTCCCGTCTGCACCGGCCTGGGTGGCAGGGATCACAGGGCCCAGGATACAACATCTCCTTCCGCCGCAGTGGCCCCTTTCACAGACTGGGGTCTGCTGACCCAAACACCCCAGTTCTGGAGTGAAGAGAGCGGGCTCCTGGTTGTGTAGAAACAGAAACCTACTTAGCAGGGAGTTAAAAGCCAGAGAAAGGGGTTGATGCTGACAAGAAGAGCAGGTTCTCGCTCGTGTGGATGAGGCGAGTATTTATTCTGCTGGTACAACGTTAAGTGCTCGCTGTTCCCGTTCTTTCACGCGGCACCATCCACGTGCCCTGTTCGCACTGGTTTCCGCGCACACTAGCTCGTGGACACTTCGGGGTCGTGTTGAAAAGTGCCCGCTCTCTTTTCTGTTCTCGCAAATGTGAACTGGGGGCTCAGCAAGGTGGGGGAATTGGGCCAAGGTCACCCACCGGGTAAGGGGGGGGGAGTCAGGATTCCAATGCAAGCTGCACTGACTCCTCAAGCCATCATTTTTCCTGATATTCGGAGCTTGCAAACGTGCCTGAGCAGGAAGGCAGGTTAAAGCCAGCGACCTCTTCGCTCTTCTTTGCTGCCTCTCTAGGCCCAGCTACGAGAATCTGATGATGTTCAGAGCAAGCAGGTGCCTGGGTGTCCAATCACATATGGGGCGGGGTGGGGGGGGGACAGAAATCCATGGGTCCCTGTAGATCGTCCCCTCCTTCCCGTCAGGGCCCGTGCTCACCGGGCACTTAGACACGGGTTCGTTCACCCGTGCTGCGTGTTGGACAGCGCGCAGTAAGGGAGTTCTGTGCGGTGTGCAGAGGGGCCCCCGGACGGGAACAGAGAACCACGCCGTGTCCTCCATCCTGCGGCCTGCCGTGGGTTCCACGACTGAAGGAGACTGGGGGTGTGGCCTCCTGCGTTCATTCAGAAGCTCCCTTCTTGCCTAGGTGTGGGACCAGCTCATTGTTGTCAGCTGGGTCTCACTTTACGTGCCATAGGAAAAGAGGCATTGAGTAGTTCAAGAAACATGTATTTTACTGGAAAAAAAAATTCTATGGAAAGAGAACTTTCCCCAGGAGTAATCTCTCCTGTGAGCCTGTGGGGCCCCGTGGGCTTTTCTAAGGATGAAACCACCAGCCATCTGCGAATGACAGGGACCGGATGACCGCCAATCCCCTTTGGAGTTCAGCAGAAACCCGAGAGCCAGGTTCTCGCTGAATCCACAGCCCAACCTGGGAAACAAAGCATGATCTTCCAGGACCTTGGAAAACCTGGTTGGAGGAGCTGGGTATCGCCCTGGGAATGGGCGGGAAGGGCTGGGGGCGGGGCTGGAATGCTCCCATTAGTGTTTGTTTTGAGAAATAGACCCGCCCTCTGCAGGACCCTGTTGGGAAGGTCTCAGATCCACGTGGGGCCAGTGAGAAAGCAGCGGGAATTAGCCTGCAGCGGTGCAGCCTACTTCCACACAAGAATAACAATCACAACGGTAGACATGTCCCTTTACTGAGTGATCACTTGGTGCTAAGTACTATGCTAAGTTTTTATGATTTTACTGATTATCACAGCAGTTTAAGTTTTTCTTCCCCACTTTATAAATGGACAATCTGAGACTCAAAGAGGCTGAGAAACCAGCCCTCAAACAGCGGAAACCCAAATCGCAGTTCATTCCGCTCTGCCTTGCCCTTGGAGGGGAGACTCCAGACAGAGCGTAAATGACCCCTGTGGGAGGGTCACAGCGGCAAAGGAGATCAAGTTCATCAGACACGTGATCTCTCCAGCCCCTGTAACTCCGTGTTCTAGGCCAAGGGAAAGGTAGACTAAAGATCAGTGAACCTCTGATAAAGGAATTCCTGTTGGTGCCTGGAGTGAACTTCTCTGGTGTGTTTAGATACGGGAGGGGGCGGGAGACCTGAATTTGCCAAATCCCTCATTCTTGCTAAACCTGATCGTAAGCAAGCATTTGCAGAATGCTTACAGCGTGCCAGGCCTGTGCCAGGTGCTTTACCGCCATATCTTATTGAAGATAAGGCGTCGTTATCATATCCCCATTGTAGCGATAAGGCAGCTGAGGTTCAGCCCTGGCTCAAGGTCTCACCAGCTACTGAACTCCAGGCCACGACTGCAAACCAAGGTCAGTCTGTTGTCTGAGCCACCTCTCCTGACACTAAGCCCGGTTCGCTGGCTGCCCCAGACCACAAGGTATAAGAGAGGCTTTGCCAATAAGAGCTGCAGTTTTAGCTCAGCTGAGTCAGAGAGCGACCACAGGAAAGAGACTCAGATGGCATCGGTGTCTACAGTCCCACGAACAGTGTGGCGTGTCTGCACAGGGATTGCGGGGAAGCAACGTGGCCCATGACTGTTGTGTTGAATTAGGTCGTTGCTTTTGAAGGGCTTAGCTGAACCCAAAGTAACCACAATGATAGCCCTGCACAGCTCGGACTCCCGGGTGGTCAGAATCGGTCATTCGTGTGCCTCTGCACACATATGTGCATGTGTCTGTATATATGTATGATTATATCTGTTTTCAAACTGTGACTTAATATTTAAGTATTCCTCCAGCCATTTCTGTGACTAAAAAAGCACATACCAAAAAAACTGTCTTGGAATTTCCCAGCGGAGGGGAGATAGCCCTTGGGCCATCTGTCCTGACTTACTGCATTCCTCATTCCGCTCCTGACTCCTGTTGTGTAAACATGTTTGTTCAATGTGAAGCATCTTCATCGCTCAGATTCCCTGTTTATAGCTCATCTCCTTAAAGCAATAAATCACCAGCAAAGTGACTGCCTGGAAGTGGTGGGTCTTCTTGTTTGTTCCGTCGTTATGAGGCGCTGACGAAGCGCTGAGCGCGTTCAGTAAGTGTGCAGATGGTGAAAATGAGGCCCCAGCTCTTTTACGGGCGGTGACGAAAATAGCTAAAAGTTTGGGGATGCACTTAGCAGCAGGAATGCTGGCATTCGGAAAAGACCAGCACTACAAAGGTGTCCAGGCTGGGAGACAGCACGCCTAAACATGAAAACGGAAATCTTAGCGTTCATTCCTTTGCTCAGTCACTCACTCGGTTATCTGGTGCTTTTCTGCGCCTCCGTCGAGACTGGGGTACCTCGAGGTCAGGGCCTATGACTGTGTCCTCTGAGCTGAGCACAGCCCCTGGCCCCTGTCGGGAACCAGGCGAGCCGTCGGAGGGAGAGGCGGATAGACGGAGCAGCCGCCGCCAGCTGCCTTCGGAACCGAGGGGGCTAAGAAGGAGTGGGAAGGGGGCCCACGATACGACCAACACAGTTCTGACTCGGGGAGTCCAGTGGCACTTATGTGCTTGGTCTCTCCCCAGGGCCCCTCAGGCCCCTCATCTGAACTGCGGTTCCCTCCGCGGCGGAGCGTAGGAAACGACGGTGCTTTGTTTGTGGTGGTGAAGACGGACGATGATCAAATGCCCGCTGCGTGCGGAGGTTCAGACCGGCGCTGCACGAGCGCCTTGCGAGCACCTCTGTTGCCCGCCGGGCCTCCGTGTCCTCTGAACAGGACGATCAGGGATCATTGAGGCGGTGAGAATGGGAGTCGAGGTGCGTCCGCGTAGTCCACTCATTTCCTTCTTATTTCCAGACAGCAAATAGGCAGCGAAAGTCACCAATGTTCGGTTGAATGCTTTTTTATTTTACTCATATACCGCCTGACCCCCTAACTTTTTTATTTTTATGTTTCATTTGGCTTCTCTCATTGGATGAAATGGCCAACTGCTCTTAGGCGGGAAGGGTGTCCTATTTTACCGCGTCTCCCGGATCAGCGTGCCACCCAGCACACGGTCCGCTCTGTGACCACATGTGCAGGTGGCTGAGTAAAGGACATGAGTGACACATCTGACACTTTCCAGCCAAATCCCCATCACACACTACTCCCCAAAACACATTGTGTGATTACAATAAACATCAAGGAGAGACTGGAGTGCAATAAAGATAATCGCCACATACGTTGTTTCCAAGAACACCTCTATCCTGAAGCATTACCTTTTTTCCCAAGTTGGAATTTAGATAATGCAGTCCCGGGCATGTCTTCCAATGAACGTGCGGACTCTGGGGGAGATTTCAGGTGACACCACATAGTTGAAGTTTTGGCAAAACGAGATTTGAGGCGTTAAAAAGAAACGGAGTCGCTTGTGCTGAGCCCAGTCAAGACTCGCTAGCTAAACTAATTGCACTGTCAGCCTCTCTCTCCCAGGAGTAAGATTTTATTTCACAATTTTTTTTTAAATTTTGAGAGTCCATTTAT